TACACCAGCTAGGGACACCTGCCCTGTCCATCGTGAAATGAGGACTTATTATATCTAAATAATTCTGAAATAACAAACTTCCTGGCTGTGTCTACACTGGCCACATAACCCGTAATAGCTATGGAAATGAGAGAAGTCAGAATAGGGAAATGCGCGGGGGATTTAAATATCCCCCGCGGGATTTAAATAAACATGGCCGCCGCTTTTTTCCAGCTTGGGGAAAAGCTGGAAAAGAGCGTCCAGACTGGCACGATCCTCCGGAATAAAGCCCTATTCCGGAGGATCTCTTATTCCTACTTCAAAGTAGTAATGTGCTTCTATTTTATGATCATAATGTGCTTCTATTTTATGATCAGTAGCAGAATCTCCTTGAGATATCACCGGTAGGGCTGTTAATGTTAGCATCTAACTAATTGCACCATTACACTCTGGGGGAGATGCCACTGATATGTTCAATCTTTTGAAGTTTGATTTAGCAAGTCTAACTAAGACCCACTAAATCAAACTCAGAGGGCACCTCAACCAGTATGCAGTTCTCCTGCTCTTTGCTACTGTCATCCTCCTGCTGCAGGGACACCACCACGCTCTACAGAAGGAAGCCAACTCCAACTACATATGGAGGGATGGTGGGAAGAGCAGACACATTGCCCTGGCACCACTGGGGGCTGCCTCCCTCACCTCTCCCGTACCTGGTAAGTGCTTTGGCCAGTTTAGCCATGGGGCCCCTCTCTGGGACTTTTCTCCCAGCTGCTCCACATGTTGCCATTGCCCATCCCAAGGTAAGGGAGAGGAGAGTAAATTTCCATGGTTGAAGGAGCTGCAGAGGTTGCAATCTCAGGCTCTCTGGGCACTGACACTCCCAGGGAATCACAAGGGCATTTGGCACTGTGTCTCCTGTCCCAGCAATTGCAATCAGAGCCCTGCCTTGCCAGTGCCAGCAGCCTCTGCACCTGCTCCAGGGTTGTGGTTTCCTTCTTCCCAATGCTCCTCTCCAATCAGCCTTTTCCTGAACCAGCAGTTCCATGTGTGGCCAGGGGAGGCCTTTTCTGTCTCAGGAGGACCTAGGAAAATGTGAGCAAAGGCTGCATTAAGGCACCACTGGGATTTGAACCCAGGCTCTCCTGTTTATGAGGCAGGTGCTTTAGCCAACTAAGCCACGGTGCCCACCTGCAAAAACGTTTTGAAACTGTTCTAGTTTAAGGTTTAACACAACACCTCTGTCTCCCAAAGTGCAGCCATTCCCCATTTCCCTCCAGCTTTCCAGCCCTGGCAGTGCCTGGCTCCCTGGGCACAGAATGCTATAGATCAGTGGACAGAGGCTTAACATTCACCTGTAGAGTGGCAAGTTAGCTGTCATCTGCAGCTAACTTGATTCATCTGTGAGCCATGAGAACTTTCCCATCTGCTCCTTATTCATCGTTAGCCACTTGCCCAGATGTACCTGAAAGGGGGCGAAGGGGCTCCCTTTGCCTTCCACAAGCACTGGCTGGATTTGCACAGCCAAGTCATTTTCATTTCACAAGAAGATATACAAACACGGAGGCTCACAGACACTCTGGCTACGTCTACACTGGCATGATTTTCCGAAAATGCTTTTAGCGGAAAACTTTTCCGTTAAAAGCATTTTCAGAAAAGTGCATCTAGATTGGCAGGATGCTTTTCTGCAAAAGCACTTTTTGCGGAAAAGCGTCTGTGGCCAATCTAGACACGCTTTTCCGCAAAAAAGCCCCGATCACCATTTTTGCGATCGGGGCTTTTTTGCAGAAAACAGTACTGTGCTGTCTACACTGGCCTTTTTGCGCAAAAGTCATTCAGAAAAAGACTTTTGCCCGAACGGGAGCAGCATAGTATTTCTGGGAAAGCACTGACGATCTTACATGAGATGGTCAGTGCTTTTCCAGAAATTCAAGCGGCCAGTGTAGACAGCTGGCAAGTTCTTCCAGAAAAGCAGCTGATTTTCCGGAAAAACTTGCCAGTCTAGACACAGCTTCTGGGTTCAGCAAGAAAGATGAATATCACCAGGACATGATGCTCTGGAGTGTCTCTGCCTTGGAAAGTCCTAGGAGCAATGTCTTGGGCTTCAGCCTTGCTCCCCTTACACAGGGCCCAGCTGCCTTCTCCAGTGGATAGAAAAGGAAGTTTTAAAAGCAGCTGATTTTCCGGAAAAACTTGCCAGTCTAGACACAGCTTCTGGGTTCAGCAAGAAAGATGAATATCACCAGGACATGATGCTCTGGAGTGTCTCTGCCTTGGAAAGTCCTAGGAGCAATGTCTTGGGCTTCAGCCTTGCTCCCCTTACACAGGGCCCAGCTGCCTTCTCCAGTGGATAGAAAAGGAAGTTTTGGCAGGCCTTCTCCAGTGGAGAGAGAAGAAACTTTTGGCAGGGCTCTCATTTTGCCCCCAACCCACTGACCTGATGACCTGGGTTCTTGCTCCCCACCATATCCACCTCACTGTCCCCTGTGGGGCAGCCTCTCTGGCCCACACTGCTCCTGTCACACTAGTGACCCAGTGTGATGCACCAACCCAGGCATCTCTCTGACAGGAGAAGGGGATTGTCTCAGGTGTTGTGTAGCTTGTTGCACTGGTTAGGGGTGTGGCTAAAACACAGGCCTCACTGTGAGCAGGATTTGAACCTACACAGGGATACCCTATCAAATTTCTAGCCCAACACCTTAACCACTTGGCCACAACAGCTGTGAGCCCAGCAGTGCCCCAGGGCCAGGGAAACTGGCTGAAGGTTTTGTGCTGGGGCTGGAGGCTTAAGCCCGAGCTGTCAGGCTCAGCGGGCCTTGCTGCCACCTTTGGTCAGCAGCACACATGAGGCAGACAGGACAGCCGGCTGCAAAGGGCAGAGGAGACCAAGGCACAAGCCTCTCAGAAACTACAGGTCTGAGGCCTCTAGCTTGCCCAGGCTCATGCCAAGGGGCCTTCTGTGGTGCCGGGTGGGGGAGGAATGCCAGGCCCAGGCCAGTATGAGAAGGGGCAGTGCCTGCCTGGGCAGAAAGGGGAGCTGCAGAGAGCAAGAGATGAGCATTTCTGCCTGGTTTGGAGTGACAGGGAGGTTGTGACCCCAGGATACCTGTGTGATACTCCCCTGGAGGGTCACAGCACAGGGTGAGAGACCCTGGGTACCACACTCTGGCCACCCACTCCTACTCCATAGTTGTCCCAGCACTCTGGGTGCAAGCAAGGTGCCTGTAACTCCCTGCTGGGAGCATTGGCCCTGCCCAGCCCTGCCTGGTGGGGGAGGGGACAAACACAGGCTGGTTAACAGGGCCTCTGCCACTCCAGCAGAGGGGCTATCCAGCCCTTCAGCTGAATTCAGACCAGGCTGGTCAGAGCCTTTCGCATTCACCGAGGGGGATTCTCTCCTTGCTCTCTTGGGAGCCGCAGTCACATTGCAGAGCTCCCCCAGGGCTGTTCACAGTGCTGCCAGGCCAGCCCCAGCTGATCTCCTGCGCCCTCGTCCCCTTCAGTAACAACCAGCCATTCCCTGCCCAGCCCCAGCCACTGTGGGACCCACTCCCTTCCCCAGGAGCAGTGTTAGCACCAGCATGGCTCCATGCTGAAGCTGAGGGAGACACATCAAGCTGTCAAGTTTCCCCCATGACTAAAAGTCCCACATAGGCCACAGATCCTCAGTCAGGTAAGGGTTCCGGCAAGAGCAAGGTAGCGATGATCACTAGACCAAGCTGAGTTTTGCTTACCCAGCCATTGCTGGAGCACGCTTACTGACCAACAAGCCTGGCTGTGACCCCGACCCCAGCGACGGAGAACAACAATGGGTAGGCAGCCACTGCATGGTAGGAAGTGGCCCAGGGTGGGAATACTTGAATTTCCCCATGGGGGTTGGTAAGTTTTGGTTTGTCCCCACCAACTCCGGCAATGGACCATTTCCCTGCCCTTAGGGCCCTGGGTCAAGACACAGTGGAGAGAGAGGGCCCGAGCCCCCCAATCCAGGGCCAAACCCTTTGCTAGCTCATGCTAAGAGTACCCTGTTGTTAGACTGGAGACAAGAAGGCTGTATGCTTGTGAACTAGACACTTACCTGTGGACTTGAGCAGAGAAGGCTGTGCATTTAAGTAAGGATGTTTCCCAGGGGACCTTACCCTGGAAGGCTGTGTTTCTGTTGATCTGAGCCCCTCAAGTACACCATCTCTCCATTGGTACAAAAAAGTAAGTTCACGTGGCAGGAGTGAGGCTCAGGGGATTTGGATTGTGGGAAGGGACTTAGAGCTGGGGCAGAGTTGGGGAACAGATGTGTGAGGGCTGGCTCTGGGGAGAGCCTCAGGCATGAGACAGAGGTTTGCAGTGTGAAGGATTGAGGGCAGGATTCCCTCTAAGGTTGAGGCCCACCCACCTCCAAAGCAGAGCCACACAGTGACTACTCAACTGCTCCAGGGAGCGCTGTGTGGGAGACAGCACTTGTTCTAGTGGCCCCCGACAGGGATAGGGCAAGAGCCACAGCGGGCGCCTGCTCCAGCAGCCTGGCTGGAGCCAAAACCATAGCTGTGTTGACTTGGCCAGGGCTTGAGCTGTAGCGGCATAACAGGCAGGGAATGCTTCAGTGGCCCCAGCCCAGAGCCACATGGTGGTGGGGTCACTCCAGCAGCTTCTCCAGCAGCCAAGGCCAGAGCCAGGGACATGTGGTGGTGAGGGACTGGGCTGTTCTAGCGACTGGGGCCACGTGATGAGGAAGTCTGGTTCCAGCACCACCTCAGGATCTCAAAAAGTAAATCTGCAGGTTATCTAAAGGATTAAATAGGTGGCAAATGACTAGAGAAATGGTCTGTGCCCTGTTCATATTTAAGACCCTAAACCATGTCAAGAACAATTCTCTCTAATCCTCTATAATCTTGCAACTTTTAAAGGCATCAATCACGTCAATAGTGTTGATTGTGCCAATGACTATTTTTCTCCCTGTGGAAGTTATTTCTCAATCTCACTCTCTCACACATGCACTGTGTAGAAGCAACTAAAACTTAATGGATGATTATTTTCTATTCATGCTAAATCAATGATGACATATTAAGATGACTTTCTGATTCACAGGAGCCTAAAGCATGCAGACACTATAAGAAATAATCTAGTTATTGGTTATATGTCCTATATAGAGTGTAGTAATGTGGACTGAAGAAAAAGAGCTGGATGAAACTTTCTGGTGATATCCCTAAATTCATCTTCTGAATGTCATTAACTTGCAACTGCAGAATGAGCGTTAGAGGCAATGGCGAGGGATGGTGCATTCATTTCTTATGCTTTGCAAATTACTACACTTTGACTAGATTAGACTGGGAGGAAAGTGCAGGGGTTCGGCTGAAGGGGACACTGTAGAAATTAGGGGTAAAGGGTGCACAGGATTGGGGTGCAGCAGATGGGGAACTCATGGATGCAGGAACAGTGGAGCAAAGGTGGGTGGGAATGAGACTGGGTGCCAAGTTGGGAAGTTTTCAGGGTGCATGTGTGCAGGGTCATGCACCTTGTTAATTAGCCTTTGTTTTAGTATTTTTCTTCCATAAAAATGTAAATTGCATATATGTGTGCATGTGTGCACGCACGCAAAAATTCTCAGTAACTCATACATGCCACGGTGGCACACATTCAAACAAGCGCACAGGATGAAATTCTTTGTTCTCAAGAAAAAAGTTGCTCTACTCATGGATGGAAAAAGCTTAGCAGGAATTCTGGTTGAGGGTACCAGCTGGGGGTGTTATCTCAAAGATGGAGGGGACTGACATGTAGGTCATTTAAAGGCTATGTTGAGGAGAGAAGAATCCCATGAGCTCTTGCTCCTCCAGCTTGGGTGCTACTGTGAAGGGAGAGGAAGAAGACACACCTTCCCCTGCCATGGTAGCTCTGAGACTGTGGCCATGGGATAGCCAACTATCTTTTGGCCATGGCAGGTGTAGGCCAGGGTTGAGACCAGTGGATAGAGGTATCTCTCCCCATCAAAGCCCTATAAGCTTGCATGACATTTAATAGGCTGCACCACAGCCACCTGGCCACACAGCTTAAAGGGAACTAAGATTATAGGTTTCTCCCCTCTGTGGGTCCTCTGAAGGCCAACAAGATTTGAGCTCTGACTGAAGCTACCCCCACAGTCAGAGCAGGTGAATGGTTTTCTCTCCTCTGTGGATTGACTTACGTTTAACAAAGTCTGACCTGTGTTTGAAGCCTTTTCTGCAATCAGAGCTGTTATAAGGTGACTCTCTTGTATGGATTGTCTGATGGCTAGTAATGCAGAAGCACTGACTAAAGGTTTCCCTGCAGTCAGAGCAGCTGAAGGATTTCTCCCATGTGGATACTCCCATGACTAACAAGGTATGAGTTTCTACTGAAGCTTTTCCCACAGTCAGAGCAACTGAAGGGTTTCTCTCCTGTATGGGTCCTCCTATGCGTAACAAGGTTTGACTTGTGACTGAAGCTTTTCCCACAGTCAGAGCAGCTGAAGGGTTTCTCCCCTGTGTGGGTTCTACAATGGATAACAAGGTTTGACTTGCTATTGTAGCTTTTCCCACAGACAGAGCAATTGAAAGGTTTCTCTCCAGTATGAGTCATCCTATGAATAACAAGTTGTGAGCGTCTACTGAAGCTTTTTCCGCAGTCAGAGCAGCTGAGGAGTTTCTCTCCTGTGTGGGTCATCCTATGTCTAACAAGGTCTGAGCTGCTACTGAAGTTTTTCCCACAGCCAGAGCAATTGAAAGCTTTCTCTCCTGTATGGCTCCTCCTATGGGTAACAAGGTTTGACTTCTGACTGAAGCGTTTCCCGCAGTCAGAGCAATTGAAAGGTTTCTCTCCTGTGCAGGGAATGCTTCAGTGGCCCCAGCCCAGAGCCACATGGTGGTGGGGTCACTCCAGCAGCTTCTCCAGCAGCCAAGGCCAGAGCCAGGGACATGTGGTGGTGAGGGACTGGGCTGTTCTAGCGACTGGGGCCACGTGATGAGGAAGTCTGGTTCCAGCACCACCTCAGGATCTCAAAAAGTAAATCTGCAGGTTATCTAAAGGATTAAATAGGTGGCAAATGACTAGAGAAATGGTCTGTGCCCTGTTCATATTTAAGACCCTAAACCATGTCAAGAACAATTCTCTCTAATCCTCTATAATCTTGCAACTTTTAAAGGCATCAATCACGTCAATAGTGTTGATTGTGCCAATGACTATTTTTCTCCCTGTGGAAGTTATTTCTCAATCTCACTCTCTCACACATGCACTGTGTAGAAGCAACTAAAACTTAATGGATGATTATTTTCTATTCATGCTAAATCAATGATGACATATTAAGATGACTTTCTGATTCACAGGAGCCTAAAGCATGCAGACACTATAAGAAATAATCTAGTTATTGGTTATATGTCCTATATAGAGTGTAGTAATGTGGACTGAAGAAAAAGAGCTGGATGAAACTTTCTGGTGATATCCCTAAATTCATCTTCTGAATGTCATTAACTTGCAACTGCAGAATGAGCGTTAGAGGCAATGGCGAGGGATGGTGCATTCATTTCTTATGCTTTGCAAATTACTACACTTTGACTAGATTAGACTGGGAGGAAAGTGCAGGGGTTCGGCTGAAGGGGACACTGTAGAAATTAGGGGTAAAGGGTGCACAGGATTGGGGTGCAGCAGATGGGGAACTCATGGATGCAGGAACAGTGGAGCAAAGGTGGGTGGGAATGAGACTGGGTGCCAAGTTGGGAAGTTTTCAGGGTGCATGTGTGCAGGGTCATGCACCTTGTTAATTAGCCTTTGTTTTAGTATTTTTCTTCCATAAAAATGTAAATTGCATATATGTGTGCATGTGTGCACGCACGCAAAAATTCTCAGTAACTCATACATGCCACGGTGGCACACATTCAAACAAGCGCACAGGATGAAATTCTTTGTTCTCAAGAAAAAAGTTGCTCTACTCATGGATGGAAAAAGCTTAGCAGGAATTCTGGTTGAGGGTACCAGCTGGGGGTGTTATCTCAAAGATGGAGGGGACTGACATGTAGGTCATTTAAAGGCTATGTTGAGGAGAGAAGAATCCCATGAGCTCTTGCTCCTCCAGCTTGGGTGCTACTGTGAAGGGAGAGGAAGAAGACACACCTTCCCCTGCCATGGTAGCTCTGAGACTGTGGCCATGGGATAGCCAACTATCTTTTGGCCATGGCAGGTGTAGGCCAGGGTTGAGACCAGTGGATAGAGGTATCTCTCCCCATCAAAGCCCTATAAGCTTGCATGACATTTAATAGGCTGCACCACAGCCACCTGGCCACACAGCTTAAAGGGAACTAAGATTATAGGTTTCTCCCCTCTGTGGGTCCTCTGAAGGCCAACAAGATTTGAGCTCTGACTGAAGCTACCCCCACAGTCAGAGCAGGTGAATGGTTTTCTCTCCTCTGTGGATTGACTTACGTTTAACAAAGTCTGACCTGTGTTTGAAGCCTTTTCTGCAATCAGAGCTGTTATAAGGTGACTCTCTTGTATGGATTGTCTGATGGCTAGTAATGCAGAAGCACTGACTAAAGGTTTCCCTGCAGTCAGAGCAGCTGAAGGATTTCTCCCATGTGGATACTCCCATGACTAACAAGGTATGAGTTTCTACTGAAGCTTTTCCCACAGTCAGAGCAGCTGAAGGGTTTCTCCCCTGTGTGGGTTCTACAATGGATAACAAGGTTTGACTTGCTATTGTAGCTTTTCCCACAGACAGAGCAATTGAAAGGTTTCTCTCCAGTATGAGTCATCCTATGAATAACAAGTTGTGAGCGTCTACTGAAGCTTTTTCCGCAGTCAGAGCAGCTGAGGAGTTTCTCTCCTGTGTGGGTCATCCTATGTCTAACAAGGTCTGAGCTGCTACTGAAGTTTTTCCCACAGCCAGAGCAATTGAAAGCTTTCTCTCCTGTATGGCTCCTCCTATGGGTAACAAAGTCTGAGCGGCTACTGAAGCTTTTCCCGCAGTCAGAG